CGTTATTGTGCACTTATCTTCACGCCCGTTCGTTCTAAACAACGAGTAGCCAGTAGGTAATTTTAATTTGCGTTACGGACTTTCAAGGTAGTTAAAATAAGTCTATTTAAAAAAAAATAAACTCACTGACGTGCATACAAAAATAATGCTTTCACTTCACGGCTGCAGCTAATATTGTCGTAATGTGTACGCATCGTAAAAAAAAAAAAAAAATAATAGTAATAAATATAATATTTTTAATCTATTAATAATTATATTAACCTACCCAGCTACCTACCACATAAATTTGTACATCATGTCGCATATATTATTATGCAATATGTATAGTTAGTTAAAGTCGTATAATTGCATAGGTACCTTTTAAGGTGTCACAAATTGTTATGGTATAATGTATACCAATTACCCACTATGATACATATTACATATATGCATTAAAACAAATATACACTTGATACACTTTTGCATAGTGCACTAATATATTTGTGAAATACGATTACTATCTATTTTGATCTATATTATTCAATCTGATAATTCAACATGTTATATGTTGTACTAATTTAAAAACGCAATATATTGCGTCAATAAAAATCGCTGATAACATGACTAGATAATCTGACAAGTTCTAAACTAAAAATTTATAATTGTATGTAGTTTAGTATCGAGCAATAAACATAGCATCAATTGAATCGAAAAAAAATCGTAAACTTTTAATACACGTTGGTTATAATTATGTGTGTTTTCGATAAGTTTAGTGCAAATAATTGAATTCAATTTTGAAAATGTCGAAGGAAAGATATTTGTTCAGAATAATTTCTTTAGAGAAGTCATTTTTCGATTTTCTAAGGAGTTTTCTAAATAAATTAGAAAAAAACGAAAAAAAAACGGAGGTACAACGGGAAAATGTAAAAATGTAAGTATTAGTTGGTAAAAATATCACAGCTTTTTTTTCTTATGAACAATTCTTTTACCAGCAATTTTGCTCCAATTTACAATCATAGAACTTTTTCTAAAAGTGAATCTGACTGGGAAGATCATTTTTTGATTTTCCCAATAAATGAAAAAATCGGGAAAATTGTAAAAAAAACATTTAATCATTCAATCAAAGCAATGATTCATCGTTGCTAACTAAAAAACGATTCTAAGCGGAGTTCAGTTGATAATGTTGCATTTTCAACAATATACGTATACCATATTATGCTAAAATAATTACATAGACATTATTTATTTTCTTTGATAATATTTGTTAAATATTATAGCGATTTTCCCGTTTTTCCACATTTTTCCCGGGTTTCCCGTGTTTTTCCCGGTTTTTCACATCTACTGGGAAAATCAAAAATTTACTTCCTTAAAGTACCGCTCCAGTCAGAATTACTTTCAAAAAAAGTACTACACTTGTAAATCAGAGCAAAACTGTTGGTAGAAAAGTTGTGAAAAAAATTACAAATGAAAAAAAAAATTACTAATAAACATCATTAAAAAACCGTAAGCTTCTCCGCTTCACTCAGTAACTAGAACTTAAAAAAACGTCCTAGAATAATGGAGACGGATGCAGCCACTGTTATAGGTAATTTTCTGAGTGTTACTGCTGGATAGCTTCTCTCCTCACTCTCATATCATTTTAATACATCTGAACGCTCATATACACAATGTAAATATCATTACAGATTGTATACGTAATAATAAATGTTTAAAAAAAAATGAATAGGTAATTTAATGTACATCTGTAAGCAATGATAAACCATTGCTAATGAAAAACTATTTTGAGCATAGTTTAGTTAATAGTGATGCTTTGTTAACAATATATCTCATAATATGGTAAAATAATTAAATAGGCATTATATGTTTTTTTTAATAATAATTGTTTAATATTGTATCGATTTTCCTGTTTTTCCTACGTCTTTCCCGGTTTTCTTGTTTTTTTTTTCCGGTTTTTCATCTTTGCTGGGAAAACTCCTGATAAAATTGAAAAATTACCTCTTTAAATTACCATGGAGATAAAATTTCAGAAAATAAACTACACTTGATACATTGGAGCAACATTTCTGGAAGAAAAGTTTACGCAACAAATCTAGGGATATTTTTCTTTAGATTTTTCGATTAGCTGGGTCTCTAGGTACATCTAAAATGCATTTATTTTTTTCTGTTTAGGTAAAAGGAAAAAAATAAGTGCAATGAATTTTTTTTCAAAACAAAGGTTATTGGGGGAGGGGAGTTGGTTAGAGATTTTTCTTTCATTTTGATGATAATATATAATGATACATCATATCATAACAATAAACATTACCCCAAAAAAAGCCTTTCATTTGGATTTATTATAAAAGCATCAAATGCGATTTATGATTATTTAAGTTCTTTATTAGGATATGTATTGGAAATAGTAATTCAATTTTTTAGTGAAAATCTTAAACAAATTTGATAGTGTTTTTGAAAAATATTCAAACATTTATTTAAAGTTATTACCTTTTACTTATCATAAAAAAAAATAATTTTAACGTATATCCTAGTTAACAACCTAACAATCATAAAACATGTTAAAGTACGTTTTTGAGATTAAAATACAGTCTAGTGATCATCATAATGTAAACAAAAATTACCAATTTTACAAAATTGGAGATAATTTTGAAAACTAACATCCATTTCCTTAATACATTAAGCTCTCTATTAAAACCGCAGAACTTCTATTATGATTATTATAACTTCGTAGAACATTTTTAATTTTATCGACTCATTACATCTACTATAGTAAATTATAATTATCCATTTACTTAAAAAACAAAGCTAAATTTATTTTTATCTTGTGTATTACGTGCAAAGCAAACATAATATAATAAGTGATTATTAATTAAATGTAAATGTAAAAAGTTAAAACGAAAAGACAGTAAAACGACTAATATTTCCTTAAAGTCGGAGATTTTTCAATAACCGATTAAAAAAAATCCACGCTTTCTGTAAATTTCCCCTATTTTTATGGAAAATCGATGGAAAAGCCGCACTACAAATAGCAGTTTAAGGGCAGGTTCAAATAATTGCTGATTATAAAATAAATTATACTCCCTCCTCTCTCAAAACAAATTCCTATTTAGAATTTTCTTTGTTTTGATGGGACCGATGTTTTCTTAAAATATTTTTTTCGCATTTGGCGATTTTATAATAAATCCAAAAGAAAATGATTTCCTTCCATTTTGTTGACAGAATCTTGTTTGGTAGAGGAATTCAACGTTTCACATGACTTTTGCCAACAAATCTTAATTTAAAAACTGCAGATGTGCTGAGTAAAAGTTTTTCTCGAGAATGTAGAGGGAAGTCCAAGTTCAGGTTTATCAGAAACTTTCTGGTAAGGTAAAGGACAATAAAAACTTTTCGACAATACATTTATCATAAAAATAATCATTACCTATATTACTATGTTACCATCAAAATGAAAGAAAAATCTTTTCCAACCAACTCCCACCATCTACAAATACAGATGTACTCCATAGTCGCTCCGTCACAGTGCAATTCAAACAGTCCTGGAACGATTTAAACACACCTCGTATACACAATATAATTAGCAGTATAATATCTATAAATTATATATATTTATATTATATTATATTATGATTTTATCGAACTTTGACAATAATTAACAATCAAACTAAAATCAATGTTTTATTTTAAAATATTGCACTTCAAGAGTTTTAAGAAAAAACTTACAATAAATAATTTGCAAAAAACATCCCCCTCATCACCCCCACCTGTAATTACGCAACAGTTAATTATGTATGAAAAAAAAATATGGAGAAATTATTAATAAATAAAAAAAATACGTTTGAAATGAAATGGAAAAAAATGAAATGAAAAAATGAGTTTGGAAGAATAGGATAAGACAGCTAACGACAGTAAGTAGTTATAGGCGAGGTTGAGGACCTTGTACACAACAGCACTTTGATAAAGTTATGAACTATAAGATTAAGTGTAGTTGGAAAAAGTGGAAAGAAGTGTCAGGGGGTTTTATGTGATAATATTATAGACTGAAATTGTTTGAACATGTCACGAGGAGAGCGGAATCTGAAGCAGTAAGTATTATTGTACCTAATTAAAATAAACATTGGAGGAAAGAAGGGGAGGAGAAGACCGAAAAGAGATGGGTAGTGTGATTAAGATTAGTATGGGGATAGCCGATAAACGCGAAATGAGGATCGGGTAAAATGAAAATTTAGGACGAATGTGGCCAATCCCAAATAGGATGTAGTGATGAAGACAAAAAATAAGAAAAAGAAGACAAACTATTATTTCTTCTTCGTATTAAATTTTTTTATTATTATTATTATTATATAATTATTATTTTTTTAATATTAGGAATACTAATATTATACACTTATTATAATTTATAATTTAATTTTTTTTAAAGAGAAAAACGTAAATACTATAAAAACTAAAGTGGTTTTATATTTTTCCGTTTAGTTTTTCTCTCAAGAAAATACTCCTGTTAACTGTGTTAGTTAATTTTTTTTTTCGTATAACGAACACAAACCAATCGCGGTTATTTCCGCGCAACATTAGATAAAATATATACAGTGTACACTGAAGGTACACACACACAATCGTCTCTTTGTTATCTGTTTAAATCTAATTGTTTTGTGCCATGTCTCCGAAAAATGTTTCGTGGGGGCATAAGAAATTACAAAAGGGAAACGTACATCACTGGTTATAACATTATTTGCAACATCACTGCAATACACTACTTAATAGAGAAGAGTTCGTTTTTTTTTTTTTAAATTTTATTTATACCTACCTAATTTTCTACCTTGAATTAAAAGGATGATATTGAAGTGCGTTACTATAAATTTGTTTTACAGTACTCAAATAAGAAATTTACTTTGTCATCAAACCAACCAGAGAAAAGGGAGTGTCTTTATTTTTTTTACAAGTTCTAGTTTAAGAACTGCTCCGAAAACACTTTTTTTAGAGAACCATTAAATAAAAATTTAAATATATGTATAAAAAAAAAGTTCAAAAATCCGATTTGCACACTGGCACGTTCAAGCACACACGTAAAATCGTCTATTTAAAAGAAAAGAAATACAAATACAAAAATCTATTATTTTAATATACTTATAAAACTATACATTTATTATAAATAGGTACTTATATTAATTACTTATTAATTACTATATTAAAAGACGACGTTGTTCACATGTGTGTTAAAACTTACGTCTATTTTGTTTTGTGTTCCCATTATCTACCGGTATAGTAGGTACGAATAAAAGAAAAAAAGAAAATAAAAACTTAAATAATAATAAACCCTTATAAATACTATATAGTTATTACAATATATTTGTATAAGACTTACGGACTATCTTTATAATTTTAATCATATAGATATAGAAATAATCACAATAATAATAATATTGTTAGGTATGTCTATTGCGTATATAATAATTCTCCAAAAACGGAATGTTTAATTAAGAAAAAAAATATTTTAGTTTTTCTATAGACACATACACTACACAGTAAAATAAATTTTTAACAGGAAAAAACGAAAAAAATGTCTTAAAAGAGTTTACTAAGCGGCAAAACCGGAAATTTCGAAATTCGTGTAGATCTATTTTTTGCTGCTAATTTTTCTAAATCCAATTAAACTGATATTATTGAAACTTGCAAGTGGACAAAATTTTTTTTTTATGGTAGGCAATAAAAAGATTATTTATCATCGGTCCAATCGGAAAAAAAGGAATTTTTTTTATTTGAGACCTGCTCCGAAAAACTACTTATCGTGAAAAGTTTAATAAAATATAATTTTAAGTTATAAAAAAATACCAATTCAAATTCAGCCTGCACCATCGAATTTTATAAATCAAAAAAAATATTTCAATGTACTTATATTATTATACACACTTACTCTGTGTAATAAAATGTTTGCAAGAAAAAAAAAAAAGAAAAAATTTTAACCACAGTTTAGTGTAAATTTGGAGTAAACAAGACTTACAGAGTTGCAAAATCGGAAATGGTTTTTACATGAATTACCTACCATTAGAGTAAATATTAATAACAATACAAGTAAAATAAAATAATAAATAAAAAACTTAAATCTATGTGCTTATGTAGAATATATTTGAATCAAAGGAAAACAAAATTCAAAACACATATTATACCTTAGAAAAAAAACAATACACCTATTTTTTTAATATACTTATATTACTATAGACACTTATTATCACACTTATTACCTATAACCTAAATTAATTAATTATAATAAAAGGCGACTGTTCAAATAAAATCTAGGTATATTATATTTAAAATAAAAAAAAAACCTATGACAATATGATTTTTATGATTTTAGTATTTAGGAGAATTCCATGTGGAATTTAAAAAACTAATAGTTACATAATTAAAATTATTATCATTACCTAGTCTACAAGAAATCCACAATTGAAATAAATTATTTTTAAATAAATTTTTAAACTGTTAACCCATTATTGTCTGTTACTAATCTATTTTTAATAATAATGTACAATGTAAATTTATTTTTTCTATTGAAAAACACATTAAATATTATTTTTTTATGTTTTATATTAATTTTATGGACTAAACAAATCCAACTAAATTTTAAAATGGCATTTTTAAAAAAAATAAATGGGGGAAAAAGTAATTAACACAAACAAATACGTGAGCCAAAAAACAACAAAATATGGGTTACTAGCCTTACCTATACTACATACAGGTTTGATTTGGGTATGGATTTTTTTTTCATTTTATTTTTGCAAATTATGTTGATAGGTGAGACTGTTGCTGGTGGATGATGTTGTCTGGATTAGAACAGTATGAATTATGTTTGGTGCAATGCTTGTATAGTATGGATAACCAGGGTGCGGCCCAGCTACTAAAACATGGTAAATACTCATTTAAACCATTAAAAAACTTAGTTGTTTATGGATACCAAGTCCAGTACCTATTAGGTACTGGTACCAGTGCCATTATCAATAAATTTTTGGAGTCTTTTTTTCATTTTTTAATTGATTTACAAAATGTAAATTGAACTAATCATTAGTCTATTGCTTTATATTACTGTTGGGGTATTTGCTAAGTATCTATTATATGTATAGTTAGCTAACAGTAGAAACGCTCTTGGAATTCAAGAGACTTACCAATCAGTTTCCAATTTGTAAAGCAGACGTATCAGTAGCGAGTTGTGATACAATTGAACCATATTGAACTGCACCAGGATCTGCTTGTGGAATCATCTGATAACACACAGAAGTTTTATAAAAAAAAAAAAACCTAACTATTCACAGCCATTTGTCATTTTAAAGTGTTTTTGGTGTGAAAGTTATGTGGGTACACCTGAATTAGATAGGTAATTATTTATTACATCGATTTGAGTTGAATGATGGGGCGGAGCAGGTCGCATCATATTTTGCTGCACCCAAGTCAATGCCGGAATTGAGTAACCGAGTGCAGGCATCACTTGTGTTGTGTAATGGCGGCCAACATACTGTGCCAACGTGCCTGGTATAATGTGAGTACCACCTGCACCAGTCATGCCACCGCGAGTCGAGTCATATCTGGTTGAGTTCTGCAACATACAGTGGTGTACCGGAAAACGCATATATCTGCCGTTCTGTCATAAAACAAACACAAACAAATACTTTATCACACAATATAATAAAGGAAAACTAATACTTTGAAGAAAAATAGTACCTAATAATAATAAAAATGGTGGTGAAGCGTAAATATTTTTAATATTCTAAAAGGTATATAGATTATATAAAAGGCGTTTTCTAAACAACATAAAACCGCGTCAACGCGATGTAGAGAACTAAAGAAGACTGCGCCCCAGTCTTCACCACCCGTGATATTTGGCTTGCAAGACTATTGACAAAAAATATGGCTACCGATCGGAACTCGGGGAAAAGCGCACGGGTCACGACGCACGAATCGTGGCGCACGGGTTACGGCGCATTGATCGCGACGTATAGATCACAGCGCTCTCTGGTCATTTTTCGTGACATCAACATTTTTTTTTTTAATAGTTTAATATTCATTGGATAGGTACGTATTTTGAATACCTATCTATATTTAAATATTATAATAAAAATAAGTGTTCTAAACAAAATAAAAACAGGCATACTTCACACGTGGGTGCAGGGTTGACCACTACTGTAAATAAAAAGTTTAGAAGTTGGAGGGGAAATTTAATGTAGGAAACGATTAACCATTGCTAACGAAAAATGATTATGAGCGAAGTCTGGTTGATAATGTTGCTTTGTCAACAATATAAATGTCAAATTATGGTAAAATAATTACATATGCATTATATATTTTCTTTAATAATAGTTGTTTAATATTGTAACTATTTTCCCGTTTTTCCTACGGTTTTTCTCGGTTTTTCCCAATTATTATGAAAACAACTGGGAAAATCAAAAAATTACTACCCTAAAATTGTCTTTCAGAGTGCTATCATGGTAAATCGGAGTAAAATTGCTATTAGAAAAGTTGTTCACAAGAAAACAAAAGACCGTAATATTTTTTAGATTCTAAGTGAACCGAAGAAACATAGTCTTACAATAATGTTTATTTTTTATCAGTGAACAACTTTTCTACCAGAAATCTTGCTCCGATTTTCAAGTTTAGCATTTTTTCTAAAAGGAAATTGGACTGAAGAGGTTCTTTAGGGAAGTCATTTTTAGATTTGCCCAAATAAGGGGAAAAAGTATGGGAAAACCAGGAAAATAAGTACAATATTTAACAAATATTATTAAAAAAAATATATAATGCATATTACGTAATTATTTCACCATAATATGACATATATATTGTTGACAAAGCAACACTATTAATACTGAACTCCCCTCAGAATAGGTTTTTCGTTAACAATGGTTTATCGTTGCTTACAAATATTTGTTAAATTCGCTTCTGTATCGTACCTTCCTAACTTTCCACCTACAACTGCACCCACGTGCGAATTGTCCATTTTTTCTTCATATTTATTCCATAAATTTCATTAGCAATAGTTAGTTGTTGCTTATAGATAAACGTTAAATTACCTATAACAATGGCTACACAGTGTCTCTATTATCCTAGGATAGCTTTTTACTAATATCTATAAATTACATACATTTTCCCCTTTTCCTCTGGTTTTTCCCGATTTTTCACATTTATTGAGAAAACTCCAGGGAAAATTAAAAATGCTATCATTATAAATTGGAGCAAAATTTTAAAAAAGTTGTTCACAGATAAAAAAAAAATAATATAAAATAAACATCATTGTACAAACAATAAATTGCTTGCTCTGCTCATAATTTAAAAAGTGAAATCATCCACCCTACAGAAACAATATTGTATGCCTACTGAAATCCTTCACCTGGGCATCCCATCAATAAAAGCTCAGTGCCCCTGTTTTTTTAAAAATATAACATCATATTCCCAAGGTTATTCACATCATATTTCTAAGGTATATTGTAGATCATACCTACTTACATAAAAATAAAATATTATGAAAAAAAAATTAGATATTAATTGATACATTATATTTCATGTAAAGATATTCACTATAATAATAGATTTCTTATCACCCGACTGTAGTGAAGTTATAGTACACAAGCACAAAAATATTTATTTATTTACATGACAATGAATAATGCCAAAAATGAAAGAGAAATAAACCTAATTCTACTATTTAAATTTTCATTTTTTTAAATAATTTGTATTCCTTAGTCTTTTTTCTGTGTTTTGTAGAATTTAGATTTTCGATAATTTTTGTATTAAAGTAACAAATTAATTTACCTAATTTTTCAAAATGAATTTATATTCTAAAGGTTCAATGAGACGAAAAAAGTTTTTCTAAAATAACAGAACAGAGACTAATAAATTCAAATTACTTTACAAAATTGAAATTGGTCTACTAGAAGTATGTTTATTTTTCTCTTGATTATTACTTATTAGTCTAAATGCTTTAAAAATCTAATTACTTAAAATCCTTTTAATTAAAACTGATAAAATTTAAAAATAAAAATGTATTTAAGTTAATATTAATTTAGTAAAAATTAAATTTGACATTTTTGTTAATAATCAAAATCTTAATAAAATTTAAATCAACATGTTTATGCCTTAAAAAGGACTTTTTTAAGGATTTAATTTAAATTAGTTTATAACTTGATCTGCAAGTACAAAAAGATAGTTTAGGTAATGTTGTGTATTAATACTGGTTTGGTTGGCCAGAGTTTTTATTTTTATGCCTACACAGGTAATTTTTTTATGATGAACCAGCAATTTTCTTAGAGGATTTTAAATGAATTTGATTTCTGTTTTTTTTTAATCAATGTAGAACTGGTTAAGCTTTATTTTAAAATAATTTTTGATTTTTTTACCCCTACTCCATATACCTTATCAATATATACTTATTTAAGTATATATTTTTGTTTTTCAAATAGGAACCCCTGTTTTTGAACACAGATTTAAACAGGGAATATTTTTCTAGAAATTCTGATATATATAACACAAATATCAGATTTACTGCTTATGAAATAAAACTATTTAAAGTTTATACTGTATGGTAAAAGTAGTGTAGAGTGCAATCATGCAATTAATTGCCCTTCCCTACATCTCCAATCTAAACTTTAAATAAATAAGTAACTATGGATATATGTAACTTGATAGGCACATTGATGGTAATACCTAGCTATCATATATTTTTCTTTATAGTATTTGGTTGAACTTAGAATTATTTACTTATTTTAGAGTTGAATTAATTTTAATTTAATACTTTATCCTATGTTACAAGTAATTAAGTTTAATAATTTATAAAAAGGATAAATAATTATTTTCAAAGAAATAATTTGACAATTTAAAATTATAAATAATTATACAGTTACAATATAATACAGATATAACATATAGCCATGTAAGTAAGTAAAAACAATAATAAATGCAAATAAAAAAAACTTGAAAATATTTTCATATAAATGTTTCTACTTTATTATACTTTATACTAAATACTAAAATGAGTAACTAATTTTAATATTGTTTAATGTGGAGTATTGTATAAGTGTAGTTCATAGTCTAAAATAATTGATATTTGTACAGTTTAAATTCAAAATATATAAATGTAAGTATGTAAATACAAATATTTATTAATGATACTTTGTTTTTTTACAATATATGCTATATAGTTAAAACTTTTATGAATGTTTGGATGTTTTTTTTTGTCTAGTTGAGTATATTGCTTTATTGAATGCAAAATACATTAAACCATGAAGATAGAATATTGAATTATTTAGAATGAAATCTCCTTAATAATACAACATGTTATTATATCTGTATTCTGTACCTATATATTTTATAGTTACAATTTTGAATTATCAACTTATCATTTACTTTTAGATGATTAAATACAATATTTTATAAACTACTAAACTTATTTACTAACAAAATATATTATATAAATGTAAAATAAATAAATTAAAATCAACAATAAATATTCTAACTAGAATTTTGTTGGTAGAAATTTTTACTGAAAATGTACTGTTGAAAATTAGATAAATTATCTTTTTAAATTAAATTTTCTTTACATGATGTAAACCATCTAATATACAGGCTGTCCCACAAAGATTATACCCCTTGAATATCTCTGGAAATAATAAAGATAATCAAATTCTGTTTTTTTTTTTTACATTACTCACAGGTATAAGGACTACAAATATTTATATTTGAATTAAATTTGTTTGGTTTTAGTAAAAAAATTTAAGATAGCCATTCTGTAGAATTCATTATAGTAAAAGTCATTGTAAATTCTACTAATCTGTGTGAAAACTGATGTTATCTAGGAAATAAAATAACCCCATTAGAGGATAACATCAGTTTTTACACAGATTAGTAAAATTTAAAATAGCTGTTACTCAGAAACTATTCATTGTATATAAATGTGTGATACATGAACATTTTCAAAAAAATATACTCTACAGAATCTTAAAATTTTTCGAAAATAATAAAATAAAAAGTTAATTTTAATTGTTTTACTAAAAAAATTAATTTAATTAAAAAAATATATATTTTTAGTCCTCATCCCTGCGATTAATATATATATATATATAAAAAAAAACAGAATTTGATTATTTTTATTATCTCCAGAGATATTCAAGGGGTATTCTTCACCAGACAGTCAGTATATATACAAAAGAAAAATGTTTTCTATACAAAAAAATACATTTATAGGTAAAGAAATCATTTTATGAACATTATTAACACTATAAAACTTTGATTTGCTTTGTATGCTATTGCTCTATAACTTATCACACACAGAATTTCAAATTCAAAAATCTAACAACAAACATAAGTTTTTAAAATATGAATATTATATTGTTATTCAAATAAAATGTATTATAATGTATTATCATCACAATTTAGTTTTTTTTAAATTTATATAGTTTTTTAATTGTTAATTTATAATCATTATTATATTTCCAAAGATTTTAAATTTCAATTCCAGTATCATTCTTTATGAAAAATTGTTATTATATTTTTTTTTTATTGTTAAAGTAATTCTAACTATGGCCTAATACTAAAATTCAATGTAGTGAATAATAAAAATTTATAATAGAAAATATTAACAACTTTAAGTTATTATTAACAGTATGTGTAAATTTAATATAGAAATTAGACTAAGACATTAGTAGCCAAGAATAAAATAAACAAAATTGTATTCTTGAAAAAAAAATTTGATGGTATTTTCAAATGTTTACAAATGCCAATTCTATAGAAAAATTAAATTTATAAGTGTGCAATAATTGCATTTAATATTAATGGTTCATTTTATACTTCATTACAGACAATAATATATTAAGAATTTATAGAACTATTAGTTCAAAGCTGAAAAGCATAAAAAAATAATATAATAGAAATAAAACCAATATATACCTGTATTATATTATTTTATTATACTTTTTAGCATTGAATTATTAATTCTTTAATTTCTTAATACATTTTTAAGAGTAATTGTAAAAAATAATATACTGAATAACAAAAATGTTTAAAAAAAAAAAAAGTAACAACTCTGAGTAATCCTTAATATTATATGTACATTTTTTAATACAGAAATGAACCATTAGTGGTCAAAAATAAAATAAAACAAAATTGCATGTTTAAAAAAAAATGTTAACAAACTCAAATTATATAGACTATAGATAAATTAAATTTATAAATATGCAGTAGTGATTTTTTTCTTGTCTCTTATATATACATATATATACTGTCAAACTTCTGTTTAACAAAACTCTTAATATAACATTTTATGGTACCATGAAATTTTAATTTGGTTTTTAAAAACATTTCTATTTAACAAATTAATTTTATGTTAGTTTTTTTAACAAATATGAAAAATATTGTTATTTATAAAGTATATACTTGTCAAAAGTAGATATTGTATGCTATCGTTAAACTTAATTACTTCAGATTATTGTTATCACAGTGGATATACAAGAGATGATCTATTATAAAACTTACTATAAAGTCAGCCATAAGGACACCAATTAGTCATTGCTGGTTGTTTATTATGGTAGTTTGTGTTTTATATGTGTATTAAGTATGTAAAAAAGAAAAGTTTTAAGTATCACAAATAAAATTAAGTTGTTGAAAAAAGTTCAAAACAAAGTTAGGTTTCTTTTTCATTTCTTTTCAACAAAATTTTTTTCAAAGAACCATCAAGTTTGTTAAATAGAAGTTTGACTGTATATATATTTTATATAACTATTACCTTTATATATAGGTAATTTTAAAAATTAATGTTTTTTTAGATTCTGTGTATGATTAATATAATATATCAATCAAAGATAAAACTAATTTTACCTTAAATTCCCATCACCAACTCTGATCAGAAGTTAATACTCTCTTTTTTTTTCTACCTCTGTCCACTAATTCTTTGGGTCCTGGAAATGGATTGCAGTTAAAAATCTGAACTGTTTGTTTGAATTTTTTCCATGGAATCCATTCTGAAAATAAATTCAATCATGTGGTTTAGAAAAGGAAAATAACAAAATGTATATATTAAGGATACAACATTTCATAGCAAATTTAACACCTTTGCTGACCATAATTATCATATTAACACTAAAAATTAATTTACTAATAGTAAAAATGTTTAATAAAAACTTAATGTTAACAGTAAGTATATATAAATTTAATTAGTGATTGAAAGCTAAAGTCACTACCTGGAACTATTATACCAAGAAATTGCACATATTTGTTCAATTGATGAAGACCAGTAAAGCTCCATAACTTTAATTTATTTTCAGGTCTCCTATCTAAAATTAAAAAATAATAAAATATATTAATCGAAATTAGCAGCTATATGAGCTTCCAGTCTAATACATACATTTTCAATTTTAACATTTACCTCACAACATGTTTTCTGTTCCCGTTTTACATGAAAATTTCTTTGAATTGTGTTTATTATTTATTAATAAAATAATTGCTTCCGCCTAAATGGTATCAAAAATTAAATATCTAATCAATAAATAATAAATAGAAATTTTTAAACCAACTAAAATTAAATCACCAAATATGTTATCAAGAGGCAGAAGAAATACAATTTCTGTGAAGAAGATCATTGATGAGAGTTAGAGTACTAAGCCAAAGAACAAAGAAACTTGTGTTAGAATGGGGAAGTTCAGTCATAGCTAGTAAAACAAATAATTCCAGTTTTGGCAGTAGATCAAGAAGAAAAATGATTGGATAGAGTACAAAAAGACTGCAAGGAAGCCAAAATTATGGTAAGCGAAGCAAATTTAAAGAAATATAATGAGTTGTATGAGAAGCTAGAAACTAAGGATGGTGAAAAAGTTTATTGATTGGCCAAGGTTAGAGAAAAAAAACAATCCAGGAATTTTGATAATATATGTGTAAAAAGTGAAAATAAAAGTGTACTAATGAATGATGAGAATATAAAAGAGAGATGTATGGATCATTTTAAGAAATTACTGATTGAACAGTATCCAAAATAGATGTTAGAGCAGTGATTCTCAACCTGTGGTATGCATAAGTATGCGGAAGCTCAAAGGTGGAACATGGAGAAATTTTTTGACAAGTGAAAAAAAAAAGTTATTAGTTATAATTTTCATATAATCCACAAATAATAATAAAAATAATAACTGTACTTTAGTATATGACATGCTAATAATTATGTAGATTAAATAATAAAAATTTGTGTGTAAATGACATACCTACACATTTTTTTTTTAATAAGTAAAAAAATAAAAACCCTAATAGTTGTGGCAAGTACTGTACGTGAACAATTTTAAAAATGTATAAACGGTATGCGGATATAAAGAGGTTGAGAACTGCTGTGTTAAGAGTACTTTGTAGAACAAAGATTTGGTAGATTCAAATGAAAAATCAAGTATGATGAGTTATGAGATTATTGAAAAAGAAGAAAGCCCAAATGGTGTACCAGTGAAAGTGTAGAAAATGTTAGAGGTGCTAGGTATAAACTATCTATAAGTTAAAAAATCTATAATTAAAAAATTGTTTTCAATAAGTTTTTATTAGAAAAAATTACTAAATGAATAGAAGTTGTAAAATACTTATTTTTAAAGAGAAGGTGTACATGAGTGTAGAAATTATGGAAAAATAAAATTGACGAATTATTGTATGAAGATAAGGAAAATTATTATAGAAAAATGAATTAGAAGTGAGGAATAAATATATAAGAACCGATTTGATTTTATGCCAAGGAAATCAATGATGGAAATGCTGTTTTGAGTAAAATAGATTGTATAAAAGTACAGATAAAGAAGAAAAACCTATGTACGGCTGTTATAGATATAAGTAGGCTTATGACAAAGTACCGAGTGACGTTCTGATGTGAAGTTAATGAGACGATGTATTAAAATAATTAACGAATTTACAAGAAAGAGGCTATGACGGTTAAACATTAAACCGTAGTCTGTAGTTATCAGAACGTTTTTGTCGACATGGCGTTATCATTTAAAATTGTTTATAACATCCTATAATATAAATGATTAAGGGTCGTGCTTGTAACACATCACTATATACCTGCATTTAAGTTTTTATAAAATTATAGTTTACATTAATTTTTTCATTTTTACGTACTATTTGTATTGAACTTTTTGACTGGAAAAAAAAATATCCGTTTGCCTAAAATTCATTAGTAAGTATCGGCAAACGATTAAAAGCAGATTTAGTACTTTAACTTAACAAGGTCAAATCGTGATTTCGATGTGCTTATAATCTAGTGGGATATACCTAAAAGCCAGACTTCAACTATCAACTGATACATTTGTGATCTACAATTTACTTTTTTAATTCTTATAGTATAATATTGTATTTCAATACTATTTAATTATAGTTGATAGTTGATTGTATAATAGAAACTTATTTGCTTAAAATCAATATTTACTCTAACAATGATACTTATATCCGTGTATATTTTTATTTAGAAATCTGCCTGGTTATTTTGGGAATTGATAATCGTTTTTCAATATGTCGGAAGAAGAATTTTTGGTGAGTTTAATTTGATTGATAAAATATAATTTAAAATATCTAATCAATACTTATTCAATTGTTTTTTTCTTTATACATATATACTTTACTTATAATTTATATTAGGGATGTTTTGGGTACCATTATTTATTAACAAATGGGTTACCGAGTAGTCATCGGGTACAGAATATGATATTGAGTACTCAGTTAGGACTCAATGGCCGGGTACCCAGAATATCTCTAATAATTATATTGTTAAAATTATAATATTTTAAATGCAAGATTTTTGGTGAATTTATATATGTTTATGTTTATATGATAAAGGTATATTTACCTATTTGCAGTGATTAAAGTTAGGAGACAGAGAGGAAGAAGTCTCCCTTATTTTTAAGTCTTCTAAGTCAGTGGTCTTCAACCTTTTTGAACTCACGACCCACATTTTTAAGCGTACATTATCCGTAACCCATATAAGGCATACTTAAAGAAAAACGTTTGTGGAACAACTAAAAAAGAAAAATTTAAAGTTACTTAATACTTAGTAGTGGTACTGTTATAACTGAATAAATAAAAATAAAAAAAACTTTATCGTACATTTGACTAGAATAATAATGCGACTAATATTTATTCCTCTTTAAACACAGCGACAAAATCAACTATGTTCCTAGATTATGGGACTCTTTAACAATAATAATATAATATATTTGTTTTATTATTAACCATGTTTACTCGTAAATTATTATATTTAATGTCATACTACGTAGAATCATACTAGTATATGAATCATACACTATGATTTGAAATCTATTATACTATTATATTTTTGAATATAAACTATATAATATTGATTATACATAATATATTACAAGGTATACAAAACCTTATATAATTGTATAAACCTAATTTTTATTTTAAAAAAAAACTTATCGCAACCCAACAGTTGAAGATCACTGTTCTAAGTCTAAGGGGAAACTTTATAGTCTTCTTATTAAGAATAATTCAAGTAAATACATATCTATTCAGAGCTATTGACTTAGCCACTTAGCCACATGCAAGTAGTAACTAAGTAATACAAGACAATGATGCCAGCCTTACTGGTGAGGCTATAGAAGGAACTGTCTGTTTTTAAATCCTTATCGGTAAACTTATAATAGTCATGTCAACAACCCGGAACATCTCTAATGATTATATTGTTAAAATTGTAATATTTTAAATGCAAAATTTTTNACAACTCGATAATGCAATATAAATTCTTTTTTCGCTTGGTCAGTTGCAGGCACATATTAAATAATTATTTACCATAGAATAGCGGTTCTCAATCTTTTCATATACGCATACCATTAGGAATTTTGAAAATATTTCATGTACCACTTGCCATGATTATTATGATTTTTTTTTTACTTGTCAACAAATTTCTTCCTGTACCTATGAGTTGTCCACATAACATTAGTGGTATGCATACAACAGGTTGAATACCACTGCTATAGATTATAATTTGTAATATGAATAAATATGATATAGTGTCAAGTGATTTTTTTGTTATTAGAAAATACTGTATATTTGGGTGCCTTAAAAGTTGTCTTACTTAATGAGTTATATTAAAAATTGTTATGCTGTGTCCAGACTAAGAAATCTTTTATAAATGTTCATTGAACATCTAAAATATTAAACAGACATGTTTGGTAGGTGTACCTGTTTAAAAATCAATTTTTTTGTCAATTATCTCAATATTTGCTCATTAGTTGAACAATATTGCCTTTTATATTTTTGGAAATCTATTTATTTCATTAAATATCGAATTGTTATAAACAAAATTAATAATATTTTTTAAATAAGAATCTATAAAATTATTAATTAATAAAATATAAAATTGAGAGATGTAGGTAATTACATACTTGAAAGTCCTAAATTACTCCAATTAATAAAATAATTAATATTTACTACTGTTTTCAGAAAGGACGACAATTAATCACACATTTAGAACTAATACAATATAAATTTTTCAATGGCAGACAAGAATGGACAACAATAGAGTACAAGGATCTAAAATTGTACATAGCTTTCATAATGTATGGCTCTCCATCTGTAGAAGATGATGATGACAATTTAGAGGAACCTGATGATATATTTAATCATTATGAAACAGAAGAAAAGAGATATATTTTAGATGTCTATAAAACTGTTGTAGATAATATTGTTAAATCAAAAAAACCTATTGAAGTGGGTATTACTTTTACTCATAGTACTTGCAAAAAAAAGTGTGAAGTCTGTTGGAATTTCCCCGCTAACAATATTCACCAATGGTATCTATTCAGAATTAAAACTGTTGATGGTGCAGCTTATATTGATCTGAATAATAAAAGAACATATGCAAATTGGACAGATTATTTAGAAAATAATAATCTTCCCAAAGGAATAATGTTTTACCCACCATCAGGGTATTATGAAGAATCCAAATGTTTGGAACATACCTTAACACCTGCATCTAAAATAATTTCAAAAACTCTAAAAAAAATAGACACAGTTGGAAATGTAGTAAATGTAGTATCTAATGTATGTATGGCTGGAGGGATTGCTTTTCCAATATTTGCACCTCTCTTGATACCATCAACAATAATTAGCATAATTTCTAACACGTTTACAGTAACCAGATCAGTTGAGAAAATAGTAGACTTAAAAAAGCATAATGAAAAATGGTTAGGAACCGAACATTTGACAAATTTAACAATTTCTTTACTCAGTACTGTAACCACTATAGGCAGTGGAATAAAATTAATGTCAGGATTAAAAAGTTCAAAAATGCTGTTTTCCAGATTGGGAAGTGCTACTATAAAAACATTTACAACTATTAATAGTGGTATATGTATCTTAGAGTGCACTTTGGAAGTCATGAGGTTGTCAATGAAGATTAAAAATAAAAAAAAACTAACAATTAAGGACTTTATGTTCTTACGTTTGGATTTATT